GTGGGGGGGGGTGGGGGGGGGGGGGGGGGGGGCGGGGGGGGGGGGGGGGGTGGGGAGGGAGGGAGTAATAACTCTTGACTGTTACCTCATCCACAAGGAGCGGAATAAAAATCGTAAGCATTTTGCCATATGCCTCAGCAACTGTAGATGTGTCTGCATTATTTACACTATGATTGGGACCTATAGGACCTTCAAGCCAAGAAGTGGGATTCCTTGTCGCTTTTGTACTAGTACGAAGCTCATTTGCAAATTCACGAGCCTGTCAAGGATTAAAAACCACATTTTCAAACTAGCAACATTTTAAACCATCAAAAGTGTCATAAGAGTTCATTTCGGCCATGAAATTGATTTCTGAAGGAAGTAAAACTGTGATCATTATAAAATGGAACACAGATGTAAAAATCAAATATCATGAGAAACCATATAAATTAAAAGATACAAATCATCATATTCAGACAATGAACTAAATGTTAAGACATCAATCATATCCACTTATACTATACAGTGATCTGAGATCTTTATTTTGTGCTTGTATTCCAGAAAGATAATATAGCCTTTAGGACCCTCCACTGCTAACCATACAATTCAAATTTGATCAAGGTACCAGTAAAACTAACTTGCAGAATTCCATGAACCGATTCACATTCAAATAACACAGTAGCATCTGAACCTACGTAAATAAAATATGCAGGCATTTAGTTCCTAAAAATCATATTTATTGAAAACCTATTGTGAACTGACAGGATAGTTAGGAGACGCCTCCTTTAGCTGGACAGGATAGTTAGTGATGTCAAACCAGATATCACCAGATCTTTACGTTAGCCCAAAGTTAATCAATATCAGACGTAACTTCCTCATAATATTCAAATGCAATTCATATATCTGTAATCTTCTTCTGACAGAAATGATTGCAACAATATACACCTGATGAGGAATATACGCTAAACAATAAGGTAAATTTGGTATTTAGGCACCAATGAATTTGAAGTACATTCAACCAAGTTTAGGCTGAAATTTATGCATTGTTTTTTGTTGGTAAAGCACTAGAATTTTGTTTACTATTTTCTGGTCTTTGAGTAGGTATCTCTATGCCTTTTGGTTTCACTTGGAATCCTAGTTAGTACTTAGTACTTAGTAACTTAGTATGGAGAGTTGCCTAGTTGTTTGGTTTTTAAAATCTTATGCAAATTTTTTTTCCCTTGCACCTTCCTTCCCCAGTCTCCTTCCACATTTCTTCTTCTCTAGAGTTCCAGTATGATCATTCTTTCTTCTTGTAATAGTAGACCCCTTCCTGTAACATTGTTGATCATATTATCCCCATTTCTCTAAAAGATACTGTTCTCAGTGCTCTTCATCTGCATCCAAGGCAGCCCATTGAAGCCTTGAAAATCACATCCTTTCTTCAGATAATCATCTCTAAGTCATTACCAAACACATTGGCCACGTAATCAACATCAAATCCCAAACTCCAGGATAACATATGTATCTACAGCAAACACGATACATAACAAAGAAAAGTAACTGCAAAACCCTTGGGGAAATATCATTAGTCCCCTGACCTCCCTACGAAGAAGCAAGTTGAGAGAGCTGCAGTAGGCTTTCCTTAATGCGTCCATGTAATTCATATCAAGGTTCTGCAGTTATGAAGAAAATAAGAAAATAATATCAGATACCATGAAACAAACAAGATTAGGTTAGGAAATCAAATAGCAATAATTGTACTAATTACTTTTTCCATCTTACTTTCAAGTGTTGCAAAAGACGAGCGTATGTCCTGCACTTGAACCGCAGGTCAGCATGATCAGGTCTCTTCAGTTGTCCACGCTGTGGTAATCCAAGTGATCAGCAAAAACTTAAATTTCCCACACGAGGCTGATAATAAAAAAAGTTAAGCATCATTGAATACCTGAGAGAAATAACTTTTGTCGCTTATCATGAAATCCACCAGACTAGCAAAATAGTTTCTCAAGAACTCAGATGCTCTTTTAGCAAAAGTATTTTTCAACCTGTCAAGTTCTGCCCGCTTCTCTTTAACCTGGAGATTTTCAGGGACCACTGCTTGTAAGAAATTGTCCTAACATTATCGAATAATGTTTTGTATGTACGCCGGCAAACTATGAACCCTATAAGAGACTCCACAAGCTTCAGATTAATAAAAATGCAGTTATTTTTTTACTTTACCCACTCACAAATGCAAGTCTTGCCATATTTCAGCAAGTGTACTTCTATTTCTTGCATCAGTTGAAACCATCATTGCCAAAGTAGGAATCAATTCAAGAAACAGAATCCAACTTTAACGAATCATGAATGAAATGGTGTTTTGGTACAAATTTCAAGCACCATGAAAAATAACAATTTAACATGTAAAAGAATGAATTTCCATTCAAGTAAAGAAGTACTAAAATATCAGATGAATAAATTCCAATTAAGAGAGGAAAAAAAAAACACTTCTATGGCATTATTAAGTGACGAGATTATCTTCATGTTAAGATTTTAGCATCAAAACCATATTTATGAGACTCGACCTGAACATCGGCTCGGGTTAAGTACTAGGCCACAGGTTGAATCGGTGGCTTAATCGTCGGATCAATAGGTCAATTTTCAAAGTATAAAAAAAATTCTCTTTGAGACAATTTAAATTAAATTGTTTATCACTAATTATATTTTTATCTATAGAGATTATTGATATTGTAAATTATTTTTGTTACTATAATATTTAAATTTAATTTTATAATTTGTATTATTTAGAACTTATAACAAAATTTACGTTGTTCCATTTGTTTATACAAAAAGTTTATCTATTATTAACCCAAAACTTTTACATATTAAAAAGTAGATTTATCTCAGCTAAAAATTTTTATTTGATTATTTAATTTCTATTTAGGATGCACTTTGGAACCTCATTCAAAAAAAATGAAGTCAACAAATGATTGCTTGTACAAAATATCATAAATTACAGACATATGGTAATAAGAATAATTTGGTCCCCAACTGGTAAGGCTGCCAGCTTTGCATCCGGATCTTGATTGGTTCTTGACCGGGTCTCCATTTTGGTCCACTTATCTCACCAGACCAGTTCATGGGCCAGGCCCTTTTTTTAGTCGGACCGGCCAATCCGGTTTGAGTTTTATAACTATGATCAAATCTCGAATTACATGTCTAGGTATAAAATTTACTGACAAAAAGGTAAGAATGTTATAAAAAAGAATACAAATCAAGTCACCATGAGATGATGAATTGAAAAAAAAAGGTCCTTAGCTATCCATCGCAAAAGGAAATGAATTGCTGCAATGAAAGCCAGAGAAATTCATAAACTTGACAAAAACTTAAATGATCTCACTTTAAATTTCCGATAATCCAATATTTCTCCACAATCCACTAGCAATGTTTTCTTCAAAGCCACGTTGAGTGAGAGAAAACTTCAATTTTCATCGATAGTTTGAGTGAAGGGCATGAAACCAAAATCTCAGGAAATATGAAAGGAAAAATAAAATCAGTCAATTGTACTATTTGACTACTATGGTCGATCGAGTGACCTACTAAACTAATCAAAACCAAATCAACAAATTTCTGAATCTATGAATCATGCTCTGGAAAGAGAATCCAACAGATATTTATGTCATGCCATATTTTTCATCTCAGCTATGTTTTCAATTCATTTCAACAAGAAAGGTAACAGAGAGTCAGGTAGAATACATACAGATCGCATGTTTGCGTAGCTACGATCAATGTTAGGCACTTCAAGGCTTTGTAAAGCTTTGGTTAGCCACTCACATGCTTCAATATTCTGATGCATGTGTGACTCATCGAATGAACCTCCTGTTAGACATGCTGCATACTGCAATTTAAATGGGAAAATACACCTTCCAAGTGTTAAAACACTAAAAAAATAAAGAAAAATTCTTTGGATTTACTGAATTAAAAACGTTCAAAAAAACACCTTGGAAGGGATGCACAATCTTTCTAGAAGCTTATCAAGTTCATCAACCAATGATTTGTTGTTTACTGAATGCATTTCCAGCTTGTTATTGCGGGTTTCAATCTGCATATCAAAAAGAATATGTTAGAACATTCTCAAAGCATAGGGAAAACAATTAATTTGAATTGATACATAACAAATTCTTCTGTTCAAGAAATTCTTCAAAATATTTGATAAAGCACGTGATAATACAAGCAGTTACATTTCAGCAAACAGATAAAATTGAATTCTAATTTGCTCCTGTTGTTGAACAAAGCAAAAATTGGAACCAGACAAACACACTATGCAGCATATAGCTTTATAACTAACATGACGTATATGAGAAATCAAAAGACAACACAAAAATATACATTTTCAAATGAGAGCACAATGTGCAAAGATGCATACCGACTCTATGTCCTCTCTCATATGTCGAAGTTTTACATTGAAAATGCCTAACCATTCATCCATGTCCTCAACACAATTAGTAGCAATCTCAAGGCCCTGTAGTACCTGCACGATCCCTAAAAAATCATTCAGGGCTCACATTGCTGTCAACTTGAAAGGCAAAAAAATTGAACCAAATATAGCCCAGTTTGGTTTAGATAAAAAAATCATTTTTTTAGTAAATTTTGATAAAAGTTAATGAAATGTGTGGTTGAAAAGTGGCGAGTCCTATGAATTGTATGGTTAAAATTAATTATTAACTTTAACTTAGATTTTAATAACCAAACAGGGGCATAATCTTCATAAAACAGGAAGTCCAATAGTCAATACACAAGAAACAAAAAATAAAAAATAAAAAATAAAATAACATTGGTCAATATATCAAATATATCCCATAAAACAGGTATTATTCATATAAAATATATTTTGAACGTTGCAAATGAATTAGAGTCTTAACCAAACAAATTTTGAAGGTTCGGCTAGCATACACATCCTCAAATTTGATCTTTCAAACACAATACCAAAACCATAAGAAAATAAATGAAACAGGGAAATACTCTCATAGGTAACTTTCCAGATCCTTTTAAGAAAAAAAATTAGGTGTTATACTTTAGAGTAAGCACAGGTAAATCGACAAGCTATGATTGAATAGCAAGACATGATACAGGTGACGTACACCTACTGTCGATTGAAAAAATAATACTAAATAAAATAAAAAAATTACTGGATCACAAGTAATTGCAGTTAAAATTACACAAAAAGCAAAAACAGTAAAAACCTGGATGTTAATGCTTAGGATCCAAAGTTACCTCATCAACTAAAGGCTCGTTCTCTAAGATTACATGCACATTTGCCGCTTCCAAAGCTTGGAGCTCTCTTTTCAACCGCTCAGAAAATGCCTCTGCTTCACTGATGCCCATGACATAACTGCAAGGTGTGCATTGTTAAGAATATAACAAGTGTTTGACAGTGATATGAAAGAAATAGTGAAAATGCGCTGGGGCCAACCAATTGAGCTTACATCAGCATAACTTAGTTGATAAAGAAGAATGTAATATAATAGACCATCTCCCTAACAATTCTCTGCAGATTAGTTTAAGATATCTTCAGAAATCTAATAAAATAGGATTATATAAAGAAAAGATATGAATTTTCTAACACGTGTACTATTCACTAGCTCATAATTGATGTAAATTTGGTAAAGATGTAGCTTCAATTGAAGTTTCATAAAATAATCTCTGACATGGACAAGATTTGTCATTAGTGGCTCGTGTATATTGATTTATGGGAACCTTCTCATGCTGAAAATCTTACTGAGGCTAGATGGTTTCACATTTTCAAGGATACAGATAGCCGCATTATAAACTGTCTCCTTCCAAAATCCCAAACATTAAGCAAGTCATATTTCAACAAATCTAACCTTTTCAGCCAAACTTCCAGGTTTCGATCTACTACAATCCCTTAACATCCTAGAGCTTTAAGAACTTTCCATGAAACTTCTGCAATCAAGAAGTTTGCAACTTTTGTTTGCCCCTCCCCACTTTTACTCTAACAGCCTATATGCCCAAACTTCTGTCTAACCAAAAGAAAAATTACCTTTCAACAATATCTTTCTCATTCATAACACATCTTAATTGTGAGTTAGAAAAGAAAAATCACAAGAACTTTGTATAACATTGAACAACCTATTTGAACAAATCATAAGACCAAATTTCAGCAGAAACTATGTTATTTCAATTCCAAAACTAAAGTACTTACGTGCCTAAAAGAGCTTCCATGTCCTCTTCCTCTGCTTGAGACACAAGTTCTCTTTCAACAGTCACTTTCATGTCACTTTCTACAACTGCATCCTTAACAGGTCCATCTTGAAGATCAACCTGCTGCTTAGGCATATTTGGTGTATTTTCCTGCAACAAATATATTTACAACATTCTCCAGGTTATTTTTACTTTAATAAAAACAGATGATCTTCAATATGGAGAGGACTTTGGTTTCAAACTGAGGATCTGGGGGGAAACAATAGCACACATACAACTGATAAATATTCATCCATGTGAATAAAAGTTCCTATTTCATGGAAAAAATCATTTTCCTCTGCCTGTCTTTGCTCTGAGTATACGCATATGACTACGTTAGATCTGAAAAGGTTCAGATATTATAGAAATGAGAGACAACTGTGGACAGTACCTGATACAGAAACTAATCAGTATTATTTCCATCGATAAATTATTTAGCACTTACGCTGTGAACATATTTTATGTATCTACGAAATAGAAATAAATTTTAAGGGTCTGCCCATCCAATTTAAATAACCAAACCGTGATATGTCAAATATAAAAAGAACTGTTACCTAGTAAACTACGTAACAAAGTTATACAAAAATTATGAAGAAAACTGAAATATATTTGCATCCACCTTAGCCCAAAGAGCCATCTCCACCACATCTATGCCAACAATTTTGGGAAGATGACCCAACACATCCTTGCAGACATTTAAGATGCAAAGAAGAAGACGATTCCTACAATAAAAACACCATCATGTACAAAAAGAAGGGACTAGTGAACATTTTTTTAAATAAGGATTGGAAAGTGCAGGACAAGGATTCCTATTATACCTGTCATCAACATTGCGCATCGTCCACTGAGGTGGGGCAACACTCTGACTTCTAAGGTTATCGAAACCCTTCATGATGGGGTCAATGTTAATCAGACTCAAATTATGTTTCCCAACATGGACAGTAACCCACTAACTGTACAATCCTTAAGAAAACATATATTAAGAGGAACCATTAGAATATAACAGAGCTATGGGCAAGCATTACCAGCATAAAAGTACATCCACTAGGATCATTTGTTACGACTTCCACTTTTGAAAGATGCTTCAGCTTGTATAACTTTGCATGCTATTGAATAGTAAAAAATTTGATATCAGATAAAGCAGAACTCTAGAAAACCGATCCAAGGAAAAAATTGCTTTATACACAGACGTCAATTTCAGTAAAATGAAGATGTCAAAAGATATTAAATATGCAACACTTTTCAATTCCATTTGCTGTTACTCCTGTTAAGGTTTTCTTATCATGTATTGCCTTTTTTACCACTTTGAGTGTGTCTGTGGGTATGTATGCCTGTGTTTTGGGGGTGAAGGGGATGCAGTGCTCCTTGCCCAAAATTTAGTAAACATTGGCTATTGAATGTAGTTAGCAAGGGAATATATTAGAATGCATTAAAACATAAAGATCAATACTTACCTCGAGAACGCCTCCATTGGAATATTTTAAGACACGAAGAAAAGCTTTAGTCCGTTGAGCTTTTGCCTTTGCTGCATAAACCACGTGCAGTTATTGGCAGAAGTACCCCATACAAGTCGAATAGAAGCAATCACTAGCACATCATTTTGCTAAGGAAATCAAGCACATCTTAAGTTAAAGCAGGATAATAGTTACTTATGTTATAACCTGAAGTGTTTGACAGGTCAAACAAAGAAATGGCAGACACAAATTTCCAGGATTAAGAGAAATGATTCTGAAGAAGATGACCAACTTTAATCAAATTGTTTTCGGCTAGTACCAATCTTTTTCTTTTTTCTGTTCTGGTTTATTCTGGTTTAGCAGGAGGGAGAACATTGAGTTATTCTATCATACTTGCAGCAATAGGTGTTTAACATCAACATAGTTGCACTAAGACAACTATGCAGACAAAGCTAGCGTATAAGCATCGAAATATTCCTCCATTTCTTTAGAGTCAACAAAAATTACATCTAAATAAATTTCTATGGGTATGTCCTATCACTGTCAAGCCAAAAATGAAGCAGGAACAAAACTGATAAAAGAGTAAGCAAATAAGCCATGGGCAAAATTCCATTTTTCTTTAGCATATAAGTAGTGCAAATCATAACCACCATAGTAAAATACTGTACTTGTTCAAACCCTCGTTAGCCATGGAACCTTAGAGATGCAAATAAGGTAAGCTCAACACTGAATTACCATATTTTGGAGACCAGTAAAAAGGAAAACAAAGGAACTAACATGCTGATAGCTCTGTTTCCAGGCTTCTCACATATATCAATTATACAATTCAGGCTTCCATTTCACTATAATTAAAATCGCGTATTCAACCGTCTTATCCTGCTGCTTATCCGGACTCAGTTGAAACACATTTTACATAAAGTGGAAAAAGAAAGAAAGAAAGAAATGAACGTCAGAATTCAGAAATTATCCCTCTTGATACTAGCCTACTATTGGCCGAGCTAGCTTGAAATCACAATCCTTCCTTCTAATATGCTACTTTATCAAGCTGAATCCCAGCTCGATCAGGTTGATTAACCTACATTATTTCCTATTTTTATTGTGCTATAAATTGAGTTCAAGATTGGCTCATTACATCAGAGGCCCAGCCAATGAACTGCAGTATAAAATCAGTAATCTCTCAGATCAATTCTGGAATTTAAACTAGGCGCGGATGATCATTTGATCAAACTGTGAATCAGATGCTGCTAGTCACTACTCTCAAACACATGTAATTGCGCACAGGCACACACATAGAGAATGGAATAGGCATACTAGAGATGGCAAGGACACGGGGCTTGGCCATTTGGCCGCGACCCAATTTGGCGCCTTTGCCCCAGATCCCATGACTCTTGGCCACTCTGATCGACATAAGGACGTTCTGCTTGGTGCCCTCGATCGCCGCCTCACATGCCCGTCGAAGTTCCTCATCGTCCGCGCTCGATTTCGCCATTACAGTATTTTTCCCTCTCTTCTCCCTCCGAAATGGAGAAATAATTCAGTTTTTGTTTCAGAATGTTAAACCTGAAAAAATGTAATTAGAGTAATTAATTTCGCGAGAGCGTAGGGGAAAGGATTTGTTTTCTGGTAGCATGCATGTCGTATACGATATATCATCGCGTATTCACTGAGGAGAGAAACAGAGCGAAAACAGGCCCCCGAATGGCTCGTTCGGTTACCTAAACAAGTGTAAATAAATTTTTTTATTATTATTATTTTACTTATAGCCCCAATTTGATAAAAAGAAATTGAGATAATAAATTGATAAGTTCAATGAAAATGTATGATTTGATTAACTTATAATCTCAAAAAGAATTTGTCAAACATGAACAAATAAATATTGTTTTATGTTCTTAGAAAAATAAACAATTTGAACAATTAGGCCCCGTTCTCTTTACCATTTTCAAGCCGTTTTCTATTTTTGATTTTTCAAAATAGTGAAAACGCGTTCTCTTTCCTATTTCCGAAAATGCGTTTTTGAAAACTAACAAAAAAATTGTATTGAAAACACAAAACGCCATTTTTTACGTTTTGGGCGTTTTCAGTACAAAACACCCAAACAAATGGAAAACACGGGAAACGCTCAAAACGTAAAATCCCGTCTTCTTCCTATCCCCAAAAAACAAAAAATGGAAAACACCGAAATGGAAACCATCTCTTCCCTCTTCTTCCAATCTCGTCTCTTCCTCCTCTCTTCTCGAAGCAGTCGACCCACTCAAACACTGCAACCGGCACGGACGCAGGCGTGGGGAGGCGACGCTACTGTGAACGCAGTGTCGCGGCCATGGATGGTGGTGTATGTGCCAGCACTGGCCATGGGTAGAGGCGGCCTCTCACTTAACAGGGAACAAAAAATCAAAAGAAGGTAGCCAATCATTCGTCTCTGCGAAGGTTGGATTTGCATTTCGTCTCGAATTTTTTGCTCTCTTGATAGAATATCTCTCCAACTCAAGGCAAATTATTATTGTTGTTGCTGTAATTATTTGCCAAGTTTTTTTGTTATTATTTTTATATTTTTGGGTGTAGAAAGATTTTGTGCTCGTATTGATTTATTCCGGAGCATATGATGAGATCTGAAATTCGATGCTCGTATTATTTGAGGTCTTTTTGAGTAGTAAGTTAATGGAAGGGTTCGATTTCGTAATCCCGATGTCACTGATTCTTTTAAGTCCGATCTTTTTTTTTTAGCATAATATATTACTCGATCTATCTTGTGTCTTTACAGATCTGCTCTTTCCTGTTGTCACTTATCTATTTCGTTTGAATATAGCCTGTCTGTATGTATTGTTGCATATTTAATGAGCATATTTGGATTTCCAGTTGAGGTTTATTAGGATGTTTATGGTTGGCTGTTTGGTAATGGTATGGGCAATGCAGTTTTCTTGTTTCGAACTCAACTCTCAACCGAGAATGAAAAGTTCTGGGCTCACCAATCTCCTCTTCCCAGTCCCTCTGTGTTGAATTGGGATGGTTCACATAAATTTAGTGATCCTCAGAGCTTACATGTTAGTACACATGGTGTGGAACTTGAAGAATACTCAAAGTGTCTAATTTACCTTACCAGTTTTGATGTGGTTTAATGTCCAATAGATATTTTGCTAGTCTTCAAGTCAATCTTGAGATAACTTGATTTTGTATATTTACCGCTTAAAAACACTATTATCCTTTGATTGTAATGGGTAATATTATAGAATATTGTTTACTATATTGTCTAGTCCTTTCTAATCCAAAGACATTTTGAAGATCTGCATATGAGGAAGTGTTAGGTTGGAATCGTTATTTTTGCATATATGTTTTCTTGCTTGTTGCAGTTGGATAGTTTGTTCAAAAACAAGGAGCTTATTTTTGCATATATGTTTTCTTGCTTGTTGCAGTTGGATAGTTTGTTCAAAAACAAGGAGACTGGCAAGTTGTTTTACTAGCAAAAAATGTAATTTTGAAAGTCATTTCAATAAAATAAGCTACTTAAAAAATAAGATTAATTTACTTTTAAGATGCTCAAGTCCCTTTAACTGACTTAAGTTGTTACTACTTAAAGGGCAATAGGGATTGTGCAAGCTATGAGAATTTGGATTTTTCCTGTTGTCACTTATCTATTTAATTTTCACTTATCTTTGTGCTGCTTTAAGCTTCTGTTGCATGGGAAGAGAGAAAAGCCTTTTTCCTGCAAACTCAATGTCATCAAGCAAGCTCATGGCAATATTATGATTAACAACTTGGAAAGCGCCCCATGATTTGCATGCAGATCCTATAACTTCCATGGCATTCTTGTGATTGAGATCAATAATTGGAACAGACTCCAGTTGAGTTCAAGTCCACTTAGTTGGTGAAGAGGATGGTGAAGACAAAATTATTCCACTTAGTTGCTTAAAGAGAAGCTTTTGGTGTTGTAGAAACCATTGATCCAGAATTTTACGCTTGTATTGTGTGAAATAAAGTTGTTAATTATAATAAATCTTTCAGGGACGAGCACTTTACGCTCTAAACAGGATCTTATGTATAGTATCTATTCATTGTAAAGAACAATTGTGTATTTTAAAGATGCTTACAAGAATTAGTCACTATCTATTAATCTCATATTGTGAAAGAAGTGCACTTACATGGTCTTATGCCTCTTGACTACTTCGATCTATAACGTTGGTAAAGTAATTAATTGTCAAGCTTGATTCGATATATGGTAATGGGGGACGTCGCTTAAGGTTGCTAAGCTCACTCCAATGCCACGATTTCATTTTTTGATTTTGTTGAGTTGAGCTAAAGGCAAGCTATCCATAAAGCGTATCGACAGAATTGATGTTGTTAACCTTAATTTTCTTGCTCAAAAATCTGAAATTATATGCATATAGTTGGAAAAAAATTTTAAGATTCACCAACTTCATATATGTTATTTAATACTATATTAACATTAAACTATTAAAATTTATTGAATAATCAAATTTCTTGAATAAAATATTGTAAAAAAAAATTATCAAAATTTCAAAGTAAACGCGTTTTCCATTTTTATATTTTCGAAAACAGTTTTTCAGAATGGCAAAAAGAACGTATTTTCAGAAATTTCAAAACAGACACTCAAAACACAAAACACAAAACGAATTCAAAACTCAAAACACAAAATTGAAACACGAAGAGAACGGCCCCTTAGAGTTCCATTTATTTAGAGCATTTCTGACGGAACTTTTGAGTCTTAGCTCGTGTTTGAGTCACATTAAAATTTTCATTATCATTTTTCTACTCATTTTCAAACATACATTTTTCAATAAAATAATATTTTTCATCACATCAATAATCTTTCCTTTTTTTTTTTAAAGTAGATTTTCCATCAATCTACTATTCCACAATACATTCTTCCAAAATAATGTAGTTCAAACACACCCTTAAAGTATATATCATTAACTTTATTTTTTTACGGGAAATGTTATTTTTCATCCAAATTTCTACTTTTGAAGTGTTTGATTGACAATTTTTTTTTTTTTTTTATGAAAATTATTTTCTAACTTTTGGTCACGTGGACATATCTTTTCTTGAAAGCAAGGAAAATGTTTCCTTTAAGGATGCGTAGTTTTTACTTTTCAGGTGATTCACCATCTCTTTCACTCTCTCATCTACCCACCAATAAAAAATAAACAAATATAATATTTTTTAAATTGAAAACTAAATTAATCAAACATATTTAATTAATAATTTCCATACAAAATTGCCTAAAATTCATTTTTTTTCCATACAAATTTCATTTTCGCAATCAAATGCACCATTAGTGTTTTAAAAAGTACGTCTTGGTGAAAGACACTAGCAAACCTCTTTGCCTTGATAATAAGTGTGAAAGTAAGCAATCAACTGCTAAGTTAATCATTTAACGCGCAATTTACTAATTTTTTTCCTTTTTCAAAAAAATATTTTATTTGATTTTAGTTAATTAACTTTTTCTTTTTTAAAAAAAAGATTTTTATTTGACGTTAATTTCGAATTTTTAAATGATATGTACAAAAGTCAAAAAGGGTTTTATTCGATAAAAATTTAAATAAAATTTAAACTATAGTGTTAACTATATTATGTAATTGTGATTTTGAAACTTATTGTTTTGTTGAAAACTTTGAAAGTATGTATGAAATTCTTATAAATCCATTAAGTATGATTTACCTAATTGAAAGTTGAAACTATGAAAAATAGTGTAGTTTTTGCATTTTAAAAATTATTTAATTTGCTATAAATTGAGAGAACGAGGGAGAAGCTAATAAACTTGTGTATTTTATTGAGAACCAAAGTCTCATATTTACAAGGAATGGTTAGGGATACAATGATGATAATTTATAGGGTAGCAATAGTACAATTCTCATTAATTAACAAACTTATCATTGACAACACTCGCTCTTGAATGACACATTACAAAATATACGCTTTGTTAAAACCTTATGAAGAAAATTCAGTGGGACAAAACTTGATCAAAAGGGAAAAAAAAGTACAATTGCTCTCCTTGATTTCAATTTGTATCAAAGGATTCATGTCTTGTATGTCAATATCTTCAATATTGATATTTTGTAAGTTAACGTCTTCAAGAAAATCAAGTGGGACAAAATTTGATGATTGAGTAACATGATAATTTGAAAAATATTTCTTGTTGATCTCTTCGAGAGTCTCTTACATATAAAAAAATTGCTTTGAGGGTAAATGTCTTGTGTGTTATGGACATTCATTACACAAAGAATATAACTCATTAAAACTTTATTAGAAAAAATCTTGTGTGAAAAATCTTAATGAAGGAAAAATAAGTGCATTATACTTTTGAACACGCTACAAAAGTAGTCTCGTTAAAAATCGTCGGAAAAATTCAATGGGACAAATACTTGGTCAAGGAAAAAGAGTACAACGCGTATTTTCTCCCTTTATGATAATATCACTTGAATTATACTTCAAGCATATTAAATTCTTTCAGGATATTATCAAAACCATACAAGA